TGTGTGTGTCTGACCGTGGGTGTTTTGGCTCTGGATGTTTCCTCGGGGAACCCAGCGATGCTTCTGCGGTTGGAGGAACTCCTGGTTAGTTTGTGGTTGTTGGATGAAGCTGTTCGATGGGACACAAAAGACACTGACGGGTCAAAGACGGACACACAGAAACAACACGTGAAATACGTTTACAACACACAGACAGAGACACAGATGGAGGAGAATGAGACGCTCGGTTAGGAAGACACGTTGTGCAAACAAATGAGAAACAGTTTCAGAGAGGCTCACTGCGCTTCCAGGTAGAAAAAAACAGCATTAACTTTTTGTCCCTTAAAAACACAAGTAAAATATTTTTAATGTGTCAAAGCAGACGGATTAGTTATGACCACTAACTCAAACTCAAACTAACCATGGAGAAAGGTTTAGTCAAGTAAAATCAGTGTTCATGCAGGCTTTGGTTGTAAATGTCATTTTGTGCGTTTTTCTGCCCTTAAAGTAAGAATTTAATAAATTAAAAAGGAAAAATAAATACATTAAATTTAAAATTATGCAAGTAAAACGACAGATTTCACAAAATTAATGTTCACCAATGCTTTAAAATCCCAATATCATGACAACAGCAAGGCTAAAGCAGAGGGCCACACATAAAAAAAGCTGCTAAAGTCGAATCATTTAACAACAAGCGTGCAGGTAAATAAAAAGGCAAAAAAAATTATTTATTTTTATTTATTACTTAGTTTTTAATGAAGGCTTCACATATTTGTTAGAAAATGTGTATTTTCATGATTAAAAAGCTGGTCTTTTTAACACATGATGATTGATGTAAATTAATGTTTTTCATGAGTTTCAGACAATGTCGGGAAAATGCAGCTGGGATTTGTCTCGAGGTGGAAATCATGCACCTGAGATGTGTTCATATTTAGGCGAGGGGTGATGGAGGACGCCTACAGTTACCTGCAGGATCCTAACATGTATGGATAAAGGAGCTGAAGGGTTAAAGAGTACATAATGTCGTTTCCAACGTCAAACTCAAGGTTCTGCAGAGTCGCTGAGATTTGTTTCTGAGGCGACTCCCAGATCTCACAGGATTTATGCACCCAGCTGCATGTTGCATGGTTAGAAAGGGTCTAAACCTTCTCCTCCACCCAATAAAACACAGACTCCAGCTGTGTGGAGGTGAGCCAGGAACAACGGCTTGTATCTGCCTACTTCTTTCATCATTTGCCAATCTACAACCTAAATGTCTCAGGAAGTTAATTCTGCTCACGTGGACATAGTGTTTTCAGAAACATTTGATCACTCGCCACAGATTGAAGACTGAACAGAACCAACTTTAAGGGTTTTCTTTACTTGGATGATTGAGCATGAATCAAGTTGGCTATTTGCTAACATCCAAATATTTGAGACAATATGGTGCCAGAACTAATTCTGACAGGATCGGTCCCACAAAGTGACTGCTGCCACTCCCTGTGTGAAAACCAGCCGTGCAGGTGATCAACTCAACACCTGTGAAAAACCTGAACAAGCTCAGAAAGACGAGATGGAGGTAACGACTAAGAAAGCAAAGACTGATCTACAAAGAAGATGATTCAGGTGAGGAAGCAGATGTTTGTTTGTACACGATGTGTCCAGCTGCTGAGGAGGTGCACAGGGAGACAAACAGCAGAGGAATAACTGCCTACATGCATCAAACATCAAGCTGAAATAACTCTTATCTGTATGACATCTTCACACTTTTACTTTTACATGTATTTGTTTTGATC